AGTCGGGCACGTCCCTCTACAGGAGGAATATTCAAAAATAGACAACAAAATTGTGTGGGGATGAATTTTCGACTCTTTTCGAACATTTGTTTGAATGTTTTTTATTTTATTTCTTTCCTAAGCAAATTTTCGTCCAAAATCCGCCTGTAGGGGGGCACCCCCGACCTAGCAGAGGACCTTTCGGGCCCCCGAGTCGATGCCTTCCAGCAGTCAGGCCCGCCAGGGCTTGTCCGCAGCCGCCTTCTCCTTCTCGGAGAGAAGGATCCAAGGAGCGTGGAAATCTGCTCGAGCAAATCGGACCCATGGGCGGGCAGGGGGTTTTCCCTGGCCTCGGGGGGCTGCTTGACCAAGGGGCCCTGTGTACAAGAGGGAAGAGCAGAATCGATGCAAGCCTGGATGAACGCTCGAATCTCCGAGTGCAGATCCAAGCATTCCCCGAAGGTTGTCGCAGATGATGCTGGGCGGGTCCAGCAGCAAGTTTGCGGAGTGAAGGGCTGATCCTTGTCGCTCACCGTGCTGAAAAGTTTCGGCGAGAAGGGCGCGGACGGTGCTCTCCAAGCACCTGACATAATAAAGGCCTGGTTGCCGAGCCGCCCTTGTAACCTTGTCGGGGACCGTTTCCCGCGCAAGTTTAGGAAGTCGGCCCCTGGTCTCCAACGCGGGTAAAACAACCTGGCGATCCCCTCGAATCTCATACTCCGTTTTGTCGGCCCACATCCGATAGAGACGGGTGAGATGTTTTTTGAATCGTGCCCCTGGAGGCCTGAGACCTGACAAGAACCATACCGTATTGAGTGCAGTCCAACTTTGCGTCCCAGCTCGGTGGCTCAGGTGCAGAGCCGGTTGCACATTCAAGAGGGAGAGGGTTTTTTTTTACAAATCCCAATGCCTGAAGCTGGGCAACCTAGCGACAGAACTGCACACGGACTGGCTTGTGCGGCTTCGTCGCCGCCTCCAAACATACTGAAGTACTCTGGATGGCCTTGGACAGACCGATGGACACCAAGAAATAGTCCAGCTTGCGGACTCCCTGCGAAGAAGTGTCCGTGCACGTACCAGCAGCGTCGGGATATATTATGTTAGCAGGCAGGATGCTGACTTGTTCCGACGTTGCCAACTCTTCGGGCTCCATCTGACCATCAGCGCCAGCAACGAACGAACCCTGGAACGACGACATAAGGGCTCCTATGGAGGACAGCAGCTCCAAATTGTACTCCGAGAGGCCCTCCGAGTCCTTGAGATGCGCACTGACGGCCAAGAACTCCAGACCCCCTGGAGTCTGAACGACAGTTGCAGCAACTCTAAGTGTAACAGCGCATGGGCCACCCTCCATATCATGCAAGCCCAAGAAGTCCCTGACCATCATAGTCACACCACCAGAGAAGCAGTTGCCCCCACCCCTGGAGGCCGGGGGACATCGTGATTTCCAGCGCGATCGAGAGGCCCTCTGGGAGGCCTCGCTCACCTGGTCATGGGTAGCCAGGTGAGTGTCCTGAAGAAACACGACGTGTGCTGAAGTGCTGGAGAGCCAGGCCTTCGCACTGCCCTATCCCGTGCAACTTGCGGTCTCTAGACAAAGTTCAAACCTGTCCGAGCAAGCGGGGGCCCTGAGGCCAGTGCAGCACTCCAATGAGGGCTCTTTGGGGACGGGTAGGCGAACACGCCTCGCTATAGCAGGAGAGAAGTCAGCATTCAAAACGTAAGCATGTGAGAGGTACCCCCTCGCCTCCGACGGCCCTACACGAGCCTGTGACAGGAGCGAGGGGGGAACATTTCCGAGACTCCTCGGCCAGTGTCGCCGAGGGTGAGAGAACAGATTGAGCACGCTCACGCACGTCGATTGCAGGGGCAGCAGGTTCAGGTGGTGTACGTTCCTGACGGCCGTCAGCATCATGGGGTACACCTCCATCTTCTCCGTTGGCTGCGGCGCCAGCTCCATCGACGGCCGCAGCATCTGGTGAGTCGCCAAGCTTGGCGTGGGCGGCGTGCTCAGCTTGATCTTGTCGATGGAGCTAAGCATGCTGGCGAAGAGGTCTATGGTGAGGGGCTCCAGTCCTGCTCGCAACTCAGCCCGACGGCTGACACTTCGTTGTCGGTGTCGTCGAGCGCCCGGAGCTCTTCATCAGCGGAGATGGTGATGGCGTCGTGCTTCCCCGCCAGCACGTCGCGGATGCTGATGCCAGGATGCTCGACAGGAGCTTGCGCAACTTGTTTTGCTAGTCGAGCTTGGCCTGGGCGTCGGCAGCAGCAGTGGTGCACGTGTCGAGCCAGTTCTGGGCCTTCTCCAGCACGTCGAGCTCGCGGTTGAGACGCTTCTCCAGGATGCGGACTTGCTGGAGCGCCTCGTTGGCCTGACGCTCCAAGGGCTTCTCCTCACGGCCCTTCTCCGCATCCTGCTTCTGCTTGCGCCACGCCTGATATTGCGATTTGGCGGCCTCATCCTCGAATTTGGTGGTCATCTCGAGAAGCAAATCGATCTCCGCGATCGTGATGTCGAGCGGCATCGATGAGCCGCCGAGCAGAGCGAGGGCGTTGCCGCCGTTCTGTCAGCTCTTGCCGCCGCTCTCGCCAGGCTGCGAACCCGCCACAGGGGCGACCTCACTGCGGGGGCGGTGGCAGTGCTTGCGCCAAGAGTACCAGGCGAGGTTCCTGGCGCAGCCGCAGTCAGGGTGCGCGCACTTCCACTTGGGCCCAGCAATGGCCGCATCACGGCGCTGGCCCTCTTGCTTCGACGACCACGAGTTGCCACCTGCCATGGCAGCGTCGTGCCCTGAAGGGACTGGATCGGAAATGGCAGCCGGGCCACTCTGGCTCGCGTCCACCCAACTTTTCTGAATCGTTGGTGAATACAAATACAAGAGCACTTGTGCCAGAACGGCGAGGAGGAGGAGCAGGAGGAGGAGGAGGAGGAGGAGGAGGAGCAGGAAGAGGAGGAGGAGGAGGAGGAGGAGGAGGAGGAGGAGGAGGAGGAGGAAGAGGAGGAGGAGGAGGAGGAGGAGGAGGAGGAGGAGGAGGAGGAGGAGGGGGGGAGGAAGAGGGGGAGGGAGGCCTCCCCTCACTCCTCGCCCCTCCTCGCCTCCACCCTCGCCTCCCTCACTTTCCCCCTGGTCTTTCCACCCTGTGCACCCCCCTCCTTCTCTCCATCGTGCTCCTCCTCGTCTCTTTTCCCCTCTCCCGCCCCGTCCTTGGACATGCAGCTTGATGAAAGGCAAGGGTGCTGGGGAGGAGGGGGGACATGATGATGATGCTGATGATGCTGATGATGATGCTGACGATGATGATGATGATGCTGATGATGCTTGTGATGATAGTGATGATGGTGGTGATGATGTTGATGCTGCTGCTGCTGATGATGATGATGATGATACTGTTGTTGATGCTGATGCTGATGATTCTGATGATGATGCTGACGATGGCGATGGCGATGGCGATGACGATAACGATGATGATCATGCTGCTGCCGCTGATAACGACGATGATGATAATGCTGATGATGCTGATTATGATGATGATGCGGATGCTGCTGCTGATGATGATGACGATGCTGATGCTGATGTTAATGCGGATGCTGCTGCTGCTGGTGACGAATCTAGTGGTGATGATGACGTTGATGCGGAGCTGCTGCTGCTGATGATGCTGCTGCTGATGATGGTGGTGATGATGGTGCTGATGATGATGCTGACGCTGCTGCTGCTGATGACGACGATGCTGATGATGATGATGCTGATGGTGATGATGATGATGCTGCTTATGCTGATGCTGATGATGATGTTGATGATGATCATGCTGCTGATGACGATGATGATGATGCTGGTGCTGATGATGGTGAGCATGACGATGAGGATGATGGTGATGATGATAATGTTGATGCTGATGCTGATGATGATGATGATGCTGATGCTGATGCTGACTATGTCGATGGCGATGGCGGTAACGATGCTGATCATGGTTCTGCTGCTGTTGATGATGCTGATTATTAGATGCGGATGCTGCTGCTGTTGATGATGATGGTGATGATGCTGATATTGATGCTGATGATGCTGCTGCTGTTGATGATGATGATGCTGATGATGATGATGCTGACGCTGCTGCTGCTGCTGATGACGATGATCATGATGCTGATGATGTTGCTGATGATGACGACGATGCTTATGCTGCTGCTGATGATGATGATGATGATGATGCTGGTGCTGCTGGTGCTGCTGCTGATGATGGTGATGATGATGATGATGATGATGATGATGATGATGACCATGTCGATGCCGATGCTGCTGATGATGCCGGTGATGACGTTGGTGATGATGCTCATGATGATAGTAATGATGATGGTGATGATGATGCTTACGATGATGACGAGGATGATGTTGATGACGATGATGATGCTGTTGATGATGATGATGCTGATGCCGATTATGATGATGATGCTGCTGCTGATGATTACGAGGATGATGATCATGTTGATGCTGATGATGATGCTAATCTGTTTGGCAGAGGTGGGGAGAAAACGAGACAGAGGCAAATTATGAAAGAGATAGACCGGGAGACTGCGATAGAGAGAGAGAGAGAGAGAGAGAGGAGGGAGAGACGGAGGAATGAGGGGATGCAGTGAGTGAGGGGGGCAGTGGAGGCCGAGAAGGAGGAAGGGATAGCGGGCGGCAGGATGAGGATAGGAGTGAGGAGACGCAGGAGGAGGAAAAAGAAGAGGAGGGAGGAGGAGGAGGAAGAT